ATTAACTTCTAATTTATACAATTTCAATTTGTTGTTGAATTATAATAATTTACAGAGTTGCTGTCATAACTTGCGTCATAAAAGATTTATTTAAACATAGCCTACATTAAATAGCCTAATTAAGACATCACTTACAGGTAAAGTGAAATATATAATCTAATATTTCGCAAAATTCTCTTCACTAGACTTCATTTCCCTAGCAAATAAGCTGTAGACACTGTTGACTTGCCTGAGGTGAATGAAATGCTACGTGACATTTTGTTTACAAGCTGTTTTGATGACGTCTTTCCGCAGCTGAAACACTAGTGATTACGTGAGGGGTGAGATGTTCATTCATGGTATATTTCACGTTAAAACTAGTAGTAAAGATTCTCGATAGTCGACATTTTCGGTATGAATATGTGTACCATTACACCCCTAATATATACAGTAGTTTTATATATATATATATATATATATATATATATATATATACAGTATATATAGAAAATAGATAATAATTTTTTATAGTATTATTTTATTGGTTGTATTTTAACTCTTTGCTTATTTATATTTTGTTTTATTTTTCTTTGGAGGGTTACAGTTAGATTAAGTCTGTATATTTCTATCTTCATATGAAAACAAATGAACTGTATTGTAGGTTGTACATACTTTGTGAAGTTTGTGTATTTGCGCATTTTTAGAGTATTTTATTAAATAGTATATTTTTATTTACTGTATTTTTGTATTTAATTTATCTTTAACATTTTTTCTATATGTTTATTTAATTTTTAAGGCAAGTTTCTTTTATGTAGCACATGTCATACACAATGGTAATTCAAAGTGCTTTGCATAAAAGAAAAGAAAAGAATAATAACAATAAAACAAGGAATTTAAAAACTTTGAAAATGATTTAAAAATTGATTTAAGATTCAAATGAATTTAAAACGGTTAAGAATAGAAAATTATTATACATAAAATATAGTGCAATCATTTCGGAGTCATATAAGTGTCTTCACATAAAAGCACATGAACTGTATTATAGGTTGTACATGCATTATGAAGTGTGTGTGTGTGTGTGTGTGTGTATGGAGAGTGACTGATGCGGTGCAGAGAACAACAGCGTCTCAGTTTCATGCGTCTGACTGTTGATTTTGGCTCATGTGGTGTTTTGTTCCACCTCCGCTGTTTTTCCCAGCGTGTTTCCTGGAGCGTCCTGTTAGCTTGTGTTGTGTGTATTTGTCATTTCTCCTGTCGCAGCTAATCATACGGAAATAGTCGTTATTTGTGCTGTTTGGTTTGGTGACGTTAGTTTTGCAGAAATAACACATTCAGCTTTCATAGATGAAACACTTACTTTCTCTAACTGGATATGGACGCTAATTTAATTTGTGTAGTAAATCAGTCACCCTGCTGGATCTTTATGAGATCTAATCTGCCTCGAAACGGCACATATTAGTGAAAAGGAAGAAGTTGTTAGCGTCACACTTCTTGAAGAGCATGTGTTTATGGTCATGTTGTGTGTGTTCAGCGTGTTGAATCGTGTCTCTGAGTTCATGGTGATTTTGATGTGGACGCTGGGTATTAAACGTGTTTCACTGCAGCTTTCCAGTGTTCTCACACACACACACACAGACACAGACACAGACACAGACACAGACACAGACACAGACACACAGACACACAGACACACAGACACACAGACACAGACACAGACACAGACACAGACACACACAGACACACACACACACAGACACACACACACAGACACACAGACACAGACACACACACAGACAGAGACACAGACACACACAGACACAGACACAGACACAGACACAGACACAGACACAGACACAGACACAGACACAGACACAGACACAGACACAGACACAGACACAGACACAGACACAGACACAGACACAGACACAGACACAGACACAGACACAGACACAGACACAGACACAGACACAGACACAGACACAGACACAGACACAGACACAGACACAGACACAGACACAGACACAGACACAGACACAGACACAGACACAGACACAGACACAGACACAGACACACACACACACACACACACACACTCTCTCTCATACACACACACACACACACAGCGGTCTGAAGTCTGACTACGCTCTCATAACACACTCTCACACACACAGACACACAGACACACACACACTCTCTCTCACACACACACACACACACACACTCACACACACTCTCTCACACACAGCGGTCTGAAGTCTGACTACGCTCTCACACACGCACTCATTCTGTTTTAGCAATATTTTATTATATATATAAAAACATTTTCAGACCAGATTCTACATTGCCTGCTTCCTCTTCACTGCTTTTTTTTTAATTTTTATTTTTTTTATGTGGTATATTTTTTTATTTTATGTACTTTCTCATTTTATTTTATTTTATTTTGTTTAATTTTATTTAATTTTATTGATTTAATAAAAAAAAAATTCTATTCCAACATGATTTTTCTATGCTAATTTTTTTCTGTGCTGCCATCGTTGTGCCACAGATGCTGTCGGTGGAGTTTGCGTTTGTATGGACAGGATGATTCTTTACAGACAGGATCTGCAGGATGATCTGAGCTGCTTGCACACCGTCTGCTTCCTCTCCTCTGCTTCTATTGTTCACGTTTGTCCCCTTGAGTGCCGATTATTGCTCTTTGTCTGAGCTCCTTTAACTTCCTCGTGCAAGTGTTTTCTTTGTGCTGCCAGCTCCATCTTTACCCCTATTATGAGCAGCACCGTCGGGCACAAAAGAACAGCTCGGCCTTCCTAATATGGAAGCGATTGAGGATTTGCGGAACGGATTCGTAGAGTCACAGCAGTTTGTGTAGGAAGTGTGGCCTGTTTGTCGCCCGCTCGAGGACGGAGGTTATTTACGAGGAATGTTGATGCTGATTAATGAGGACAAATGAAGCCGTCTAGACAGTGTGACGAGAATCAGCTGATAAATGAGAACGTAAAGTATGTCTGTGGGGTTTGTGAAAAGCAAAACATCTCCAGATGCACAAACCCTGATGCACTTTGACTGGAGGTTTGTTGACACAGTCATATTTCAGATTGTGTTCGCGTCACAATGATGGGAAAGTGGCTGAGATAGACACGCTTTGCGTATTTAATTCATCACACGTCTGCGTTTATGTCTATTTAGCCTTTTAATGTATATCTATTTAGCATGTTTAATCAAATATTTCTGTTAAAGCAACTTTTTTATCAATCTGATAGTATTCTTTTTGAAGTCTCTTCTACTCACCAAGGCTGCTTTATTTGATATATATAGTAAAATATAAATAGTAAAAATAGGGAAATATTATTAGAATTTAAAATAGCTGTTTTCTATGTGAATATCTGTTAAACTGTAATGTATTCCTGTGATGCGCAGCTGTATTTTCAGCATCATTACTCCAGTCTTCAGTGTCACATGATCTTCAGAAATCAGTATAATATGCTGATCTGCTGCTCGAGAAACATTTCTGATTATTATCAGTGTTGAAAACAGTCGTGCTGCACAATATTTTTGTGGAAACCGTGATGCATTTTATTTTTCAGGATTCACAGATTAACAGAAAGTTCAAAAGAACAGCGTTTATTTGAAATAGAAATCTTTTATAACATTATAAATGTCTTTACTGTCACTTCTGATCAATTTAATGCATCCTTGATGAATACAATTATTTATTTATATATGCATTTTTCATGTGTTCATTTGGCAGATGGTTTTATCCAATAATTCTAATTTAATCCAATAATTTATATCTTAAATCCAGCTGAAATGGTCTGTTTTTGAGGTTAGTGCAACTAATTACACATGCATGCTTGTTTACATTTATTTATTTAGCTGACACTATTTTCAATTTCTCAATTATTCAAGTTCTTCAAAGCATCAAGTTGCTTTGGATGAAAGAGTCTTTTCTAGTGTGTTCTAAAGTAAAGACGTGATGCATTTAGCCAATAAGAAGACTTTAAAAAAAATCTGTTTTAATGGAAATGTGCCTTGTGGAGTGATTTCTCCCATTCGTTTTTCCTCAAGTCTGATATAAACTAGATCCTAAATGTGGCTCTGATCCTTCACTTTCATAAGAGAGCTAAACGCTCCTCAGAGCCTCCAAACCACCCAAAGATTGATCTGGAAATCTCATTTGTCCCCTCAGACCCTACAGCAAGTGTTTTCTCTCAGTGATTGCGGCTCAGAGTCTGAACTCGTTGTTTTACGGTGTGAAGACAGTTTGTGTGGTTATTCCTGCGCGGCCTTCAGCTCTTGGCAGCGGTGGACAGGGGATGCTGGGATTGAATGCCATAGTTTGCTCTCTGCTTTATTTATGGCCGTGTAACATTCGTTTTTCCTCAAGTCTGATATAAACTAGATCCTAAATGTGGCTCTGATCCTTCACTTTCATAAGAGAGCTAAACGCTCCTCAGAGCCTCCAAACCACCCAAAGATTGATCTGGAAATCTCATTTGTCCCCTCAGACCCTACAGCAAGTGTTTTCTCTCAGTGATTGCGGCTCAGAGTCTGAACTCGTTGTTTTACGGTGTGAAGACAGTTTGTGTGGTTATTCCTGCGCGGCCTTCAGCTCTTGGCAGCGGTGGACAGGGGATGCTGGGATTGAATGCCATAGTTTGCTCTCTGCTTTATTTATGGCCGTGTAATGTAGCATACAGTGGAAGGTGCAGTTTGTTTGAATGGCAGCCAAAATAGAGTCATTATTCAAACTATATTACACACACACACACACACAGATATGAGCTTCTCTCAGTCAAACTTGGGACATTATTTCCATATGGAAGGTGCAGTTTGTTTGAATGGCAGCCAAAATAGAGTCATTATTCAAACTATATTACACACACACACACACACACACACAGATATGAGCTTCTCTCAGTCAAACTTGGGACATTATTTCCATATTGACTTTTATTAATTCAGCAGACCATTGTTGTACAGTCATGAGGTCTTATGTTAAACGTCTGTTTTGTCTTTTTCAGATCTTCCAGTATCACTAAAACAGAGACTTTGCAGGTACGTAAACTTCAGACTATGCAGTTATATGTAATGCGTGTCCTAACCAGGCGCAACCTGACATTTATAGTATCAGATAATGTGGCAGTAAAATGTGATTTAAAAAAAATAATTAATAAGTGTTTAAATGTACAACAAAGTGCTAATAATTACCAAAAGGTAACTCATGATTAAGCCCTTTTTATGTTGTTTTAATTTTTTTTGTTTATTTTTATGTTGTCTTTTTTATTCTATTTTTTTTTCATTTTATGTTGTCATTTTATTTTATTTAGTTTTTAATTTAATTATTTTTTTTTCTTTTTTTTTTCTTTTATTCAATTTTCTTTTCTTTTATTATTTTCCCTTTAGGGCAGAGTTGGATTTAGTCTGTAGTCTTTATAATTAGCTTCATATGAAAACAAATGATCTATTATATTGCATGTTTGTATATATATATATATAGTGTGCATGTTACATTTTTACCAAAAAAATTATCTCACTATAAATGCATTTTTAATGGTGTACATGCATTATGTAGCTGATGACAACAAAAAAGTAGTTCTCCATTTTAGATGTCAAAATATAATTGCACATTAAACAGGCTGACAAAATATGATTGGGTTTGCTTAAATCATTTATGGCATTTTCCTAATAAAAAGGTGTTTACATGACATTAAGTGTCAAACAAAAAGCGAAATGCTGTTTGAAATTACATAATCACAGCCATTAAGAGCATATTTTAATATACAGTGATGTTTGAACCAATTAGATTTCACTGTGGGCGGGGCCTCTCTGTGCATTGTGACAGAATATAAATGAGGCAACCAATCAAATGTCTCGCCACACATCACTTTTGTGGCTTAGCATCACGTCTGGTGAGGACACGCATGCTGATTGAGATGCCTGATCTGCTGCATGCCACTGAAGATCTGTGAGGGATTCTGCTCCCCCTCATTACAGGCCGTTAGTAGAGAATATTTCAATTATACCGTCTCATTTATTATAGTTAACTAAAGCAAAAACCATACAAATATTTACTGAAATAAGATAAAATATGAAAAAACCTTCTTTCATTTCAGCTAGTTGACAACGCATTTTCATTTAGTTTAACTTGATGTACTAAAATAACTAAAACTGAAACTGAAATAAAATGAAAAACTATAGACAAAATAAAAATTAAACTATAGACAAAAACAAAAAAGAAGACGAAATGACACAACTTTAATACAAAAATTAAAACGGAAGCTAATTCAAAGCATTTAATAAAAACTATAATACAATATAATATAAACTTGAATCGAATTGAAAAAACCATTGATTCACAGATTATTAATAAAATCAGTATAGACCTATTTAAAAAAGTAACTAATTAATGTGACAAAACACAACAAAATGACTAAAACTTTAAAATGTAAATAAAAATAGAAATAAAAACTTAATAAAAAATAATAATAACTCTAATAGTATCTCAATGATACTAAAATATCTCTGATTCTCAGATATTTGTCATTTAAAAAATGTACAATTAAAACAATTTAATTTAAATAATAATAACAAATCTGTGAATTAGGGGTGTCCCGAAAGGATTTTCATAGTCGAATCTGAATTTTTGAATCTTGCCGATTATCTTGCTGATAATCGAATCATATGTTTGGGATGATTGGACGATAACACACAGGGAAAATGTGTAACGGACGCCTCGAAGACACAAAAATAATGTTTTATGTTTTGATTCAAAGATAGTTAACATTAAACGTCAGCGAAACCCTAAAAATTCACAACGTTTTTTACAACAGTAAGGTTATGTATATGACAGTAGTTATTAATGTTCTGCATTTCTGTTTAGAGCTGCGCACGCTGAAGATGACCAGAAGCAGCAGGTTTTTAATCAATGGGATTTAACTCGTCATTTATCTCATATAGAATACATTAACATAACGTTAACATTACGACTTTTAGGCTATCTGCACAAAATGCTCCGCATGCACATGAACGTGTCTGTGCGGCTCTGAATGAACTCCTTTTGTGGACGCGTTCTTCACGCAACAACGTGCAGAAACACGGCAACTAAACTCTAAAAATTCAGAGCGTTTTATTATAACAGTGTTCTCGTTATAATGTTATGTATATGACAGTCCCAGTCATAGTTATTAATATTCTGTATTGTTGTTTGTCCTGCTCGCGCTGAAGAGATAATCACCGTAGTACTACAATGAAGCGCTTGCTGCAGCGCAACTCAACCAAGTGCATCTTATACGAGATAAATAATATATACATGACATTTGTGAGCCTGGAGCACAAAAGCAGTGTTAAGTCGCTGGGGGATATTTGTAGCAATAGCCAACAATACATTGTGTGGGTCACAATTATACATTTTTCTTTTATGCCAAAAATCATTAGGATATTAAGTAAAGATCATGTTCCATGAAGATATTTTGTAAATGTCCTACCGTAAATATATCTAAACTTAATGTTTGATTAGTAATATGCATTGCTAAGAACTTCATTTGAACAACTTTAAAGATGATTTTCTCAATATTTGGATTTTTTTGCTCCCTCAGATTCCAGATTTTCAAATAGTTGTATCTCGGCCAAATATTGTCTGATCCTAACAAACCATACATCAATGGAAAACTTATTTATTCAGCTTTCATGTGATGTATAAATCTCAATTTCGAAAAATTGACCCTTATGATCCTTATGGTTTTGTGGTCCAGGGTCACATATATAAACCGGCTAAAATGTTGTAACCTGATCGAAAAAATCCAGTCTCTCACTCTGTCTGTGTCAGTTTGAGTCTTGTTAAAGATTTAAATCCCTGCCGCCAAGATGCTCCTCTGTCGGTCACGGATTATAGAAAGTGAAACTTAAATCTATAGGGTGGATGGATTTATTCACGCACGTTAAAATATTTATTTAAAGCTTCTTTCTTTTCAGATTCTTATTTACAGCATTATCTTAATAGGCTGTATATTAACTTATTGGGAGAAAACCGGTAGTTATATGTGAAATCAGACATTGAGTACCCCAATATAGCCAAAATGGCATGATCATAACACCCTATTAGGGTCGACTATTCAGGGTCACCCTTACTGTGAATCCTTGTATATGTTATATAACACCCCGCGCATATTGGACTGTGAGATTATTGAATCAGGCTCCTCCTATCGAAGCATCGAATCTTCGACTATTCAGGGTCACCCTTACTGTGAATCCTTGTATATGTTATTTTAGTATCACTGAGAGACAATTATAGTTTTTATTAATGCTTTGAATTAGTTTTTATTTTTATATTTTCTGTTTTCCTTTTAATATGAAAAATTTAGTAATTTTTATTTTTATTCGTTTTTTTTATTAAAACTGTATTATAATATTATAATTTAGTTATAATTTATTTCAGTTTTAATTATTTTAGTACATAAACATGAACTAAATGAAAATGGGAAACTAGTTTAAAAAATGTATTTAAAGTTTTTATAATTTTATTTATTGTATTTCAAGTAACGGAAATGTTCTTTTATGGTTTCAGTTAACTATAATAACCCTGATGTGAATTAAAATGAATGAAAAATTCTTGCAATCAATTAGCTATGCAAATAAATTGGCCACAGACTGTGCATGTGGAAATTCAATTCAAGTTTATTTGTATAGCACTTTTCACGATACAAATCATTGCAGAAGCAGCTTTATAGGAAATTAAGTTTCTACAATATATCTAGCAGTAGCTTGTCAGTGGTGACTGTTGAAATTGATGTACATAAAAAGCTGAAGTGAGCGTTCTTTAGGGCTGTAATGAGGGACTCCTGCATGCGTGTGCCGTGAGCATGTGTTGCATGTGTTTCATCACTTCTGTAGGAGGATCCACAGGAGATCATAAAGCCGGTGCCCATCAGCCAAACGCCCGGGGCCTCCATTGGCCCCGCCAGCATTGCTTATAATAAGACAGCTCGGCCCTTCGGCGGAACGACTAACACCGTCAGATCGGTCAGTCCCAAAGCCTCCATCCCCTCCGCCTCGTCTGCCTTCACCCCAGCCGCTCCATCCCAGCAGCCTGGCTCCGCCCCCAAACCCGCCTCTGGCCACTCCCCCTTCACTAACTCCTCCTCCACACCCTCCTCTGGCTCCTCCTCCCCAGCGAGAGTGCTGGCTCCGCCCCCGGCCCCCGCCGCCCCTCATTCGTCCGTCTATAACACGCCCATCAACCTCTACTCCAATGAGAACGTGTGCGAGGTGGCCTTGGGCCAGAGGCGTGGCCTGCTGGAGAGCAAAGCCACAGGGGAACAGCACAACGGGTAGGTGGGGCTTCGACCGGCCAATCAGAATCTACTTCCTGTTCTTATACGTCTGTTTCCTGCGTTTATTCTTCCTCGCTGTTCTCAGAGGGATCGCTTTGATCTGTTGTTCAGAAAGGGTTTTAATGGCGTGTTAAAGGATGCTAATGAGAGGTTTAACAACTGAGGGACCGAGCTGTGTTATTTTAGTGTAATTGAGATAAAACCAGTAGACTGTTTATCGTTTTTTATTAATATTTAGATTTTTTTTTAAATTTGTTTTGTTATTGTCTGTTTTCATTTTCATTTTTTTTCAAGTTTTAGTATTTTTTTGTGTTTTTTTTATTGTATAGTTTTATTTAATTTTTTATTTCAGTTTTAGTTTGAGTTATTTTAGTACCATTTTAGTATCAAATTAAACTAAATGTTTGAAATGTTGAAACTAAATGTTGAGATATGTTCAGCAACTAGCTGAACTAAAATCAGTACAAAAAAATCTGTAAAAATCATAAAAAGGATTTTTTTTTATATACCGTATATCAGTTTAAGTTTTTTATTTTAACGTTTTTTTTAATGGTTTTAGTTTTAGCTAACTATAATAACCATGGGACCAATAAAAAAAACGTAGTATAATATATTTATTTTAAAATTTTATTATTATTATTATTATTATTATTATTGTTGTTGTTGTTATAATGGTTTTAGTTTTAGCTAACTATAATAACCATGGGACCAATAAAAAAAACGTAGTATTATATATTTATTTTAAAATTTTATTATTATTATTATTATTATTATTATTATTGTTGTTGTTGTTATTTAATTTGAATTGTTAATCATTTAATTATTAATTCTAATTCAAAATTATGTATTTATCTTAGTAGTAGCACTAGTAGTAATATTCAATTCAAATATACATTTATTTTTAGTACAATTAGTATGATTTCTTGGCACACAAGAATCATTTTTTCATTTAAAAGTTCTTATTTTTATTTTAAAAAATGTTTTAACTTTTATTAAACACATTAACGTTACTCTATTATTTGAGTAATAAATATTACAGATTACTTTAGACATTAGGAATGGTTTAGAAATGTCATAAATGTAATTTCTGCACCACTAACGCATTAAAGGTTTCCAGAACCATTTCATTGCTTTCTATTGGTCAGACAGACAGGAAGTCCCACAGTGTTACTGCATCAGGCTGCTACAACAAACTAGAGCTTTTAGAACTTTTTAATGTCACATTGTTGCAGTCAACCTACCTTTACATATCTTTAAGATGTATTATTAGATGCTATATATTATCTTTGATATATCTTCTCAACTGGTTGAAAACCATGGGCATCGAACCCATGCGTGTAATTCAGCTGGAATTCAAATCAGGAATAAAATGTCAAATATGTGTGTTGTGAAGAGTCTAAACCTTGTGTTTGATGTGGGACTATTGTTTCAGACAGATGAATTCTGCTCGTCTGTTGCTGGTGGATAATTGCTGTTTGTTTGAGTTTGCTCACATAAACAGTGCTTTATGGATAATTACATCATGCCCCTCCAGTCTGAGTTATTTTCTGTGGTAACCGAGGGTCTGTCACAATTGCTATTCATAGTTGAAGTTGTAAATAAAGCAGAATATTGGCTCTGAATGCCGTGAGAGAGGGAATCGCAGTATCCACACACAGCTCTCTGTGAGGAAGCCTGGGGGAAAACTGGAAGCCAATGTGAAAAGTGATGGTTCTCCAAAACAGCTCTGTCTGTGTGTGTGTGTGTGTGTGTGTGAGTGTGTGAGTGTGTGAGTGAGTGTGTGAGTGAGTGTGTGAGTGAGTGTGTGAGTGAGTGTGTGAGTGAGTGTGTGAGTGAGTGTGTGAGTGAGTGTGTGAGTGAGTGTGTGAGTGAGTGTGTGAGTGAGTGTGTGAGTGAGTGTGTGAGTGAGTGTGTGAGTGAGTGTGTGAGTGAGTGTGTGAGTGAGTGTGTGAGTGAGTGTGTGAGTGAGTGTGTGAGTGAGTGTGTGAGTGAGTGTGTGAGTGAGTGTGTGAGTGAGTGTGTGAGTGAGTGTGTGAGTGAGTGTGTGAGTGAGTGTGTGAGTGAGTGTGTGAGTGAGTGTGTGAGTGAGTGTGTGAGTGAGTGTGTGAGTGAGTGTGTGAGTGAGTGTGTGAGTGAGTGTGTGAGTGAGTGTGTGAGTGAGTGTGTGAGTGAGTGTGTGAGTGAGTGTGTGAGTGAGTGTGTGAGTGAGTGTGTGAGTGAGTGTGTGAGTGAGTGTGTGAGTGAGTGTGTGAGTGAGTGTGTGAGTGAGTGTGTGAGTGAGTGTGTGAGTGAGTGTGTGAGTGAGTGTGTGAGTGAGTGTGTGAGTGAGTGTGTGAGTGAGTGTGTGAGTGAGTGTGTGAGTGAGTGTGTGTGTGAGTGTGTGTGTGTGAGGGCGAGTGGCCGTCTGACCGTCTGTGCCAAAGACTTACTCGATGAGATGCTACACCGATACAAAATCTGTGCTGTTAGTCCTTTTATCAGTTTATGGTTTAATATTAATTTATAATTATTTATTTATTATTAAACTTATTATCTTTTGCTGTATTTATTTAAGAGTTTTAATTTTTTTAAATATATTTTATATATTTTTTATATAATATATTATTATTATTATTATTATCATTAATTGATTTATTTTTATTATTTAGACTTAAATATTAAATATTTTTATTATTAAAAATATTAAATTATAAAATGTATAATGTATTGTAATTTATTTCAGATATGTATTTTTTATTATTATTATTATTATTTTTAAATTGGCTTAAAAATTACATATTTCTATTATAAAATTGTAATATTTTGTAATTACAGATATTTAATTTTTTATATTTTATTATTATTATTATTATTATTCATTGATATATTATTTATCTTATTTTTTATTTAGATTTAAATATTGCATTATTATTATTATTAAAGGCATTATCTGTTGTTATATGTTAGATATTTTAAATATTTTGTTTCATATATATTTTTTAATTATTCTAATTATTATTAGTAGTAGTAATAGTATTAATTGAATTATTTATTCTTTTACTCTTTGTTTTATTTTTTCATTATTTTGATTTAAATATTCAACTTCAGCATGCATTTATAACCTTGCTTTTTTAGAAAATGTATAGAAAAAGCACACGTCTCATGTGTCTTCACCGGATGCGGTCTTGTCTTCATAGACGGCTTGTGTTTGCTCACTCGCTGTAGTTTTGACGTGGAAGTCAACAGCAGATCAAAGAAAGCTGGTGAAGCGTCATCTTGTGTCTGAGAGCGAGCGCCTTCCCTCTCATGTGGTTTCACTGATCCCATAAACACGTAAACCGTGTGTCCACATGCTGAGACTCGCATAAACAAGCGTTCTGCGTGAAATTCTGACCACAGGAGCTCGTTCTGCGCAGCTTTAGATGGATCGTGTTGAGGTTTGTAAAGGCTTTGAGGTCTGATGTAAATCCTGGAGGATTTGTAACGAGTCAAAATATTTCTGTGAAATAATTGCTCGTATCGTCTCTGCGTTCGTGCTTGTTTTGGATGCGTCCTTCGCAGTATATTATTATGAGCTTCCTGGTTCCAGTGATAGTGAAGTCGACAGAAGAAATCCCTGCGACGCTGACGGTCTATCCGGAGATCCTCTCACCCAAAATCACATCATTTCAACTTGATGCTGTTTCAAAACCCCTGTGACTTTGTTTCTTCTGTGAAACTCAAAAGGAGATGTTTAGTTGAATGTTCACGTTGCTCTTTTGTGTATATAGATGCTGTCGAAAAAATTTGGTGTTGGAAGCGTTTTCACTCAGAAGTTGCTTGTAAATTTCACAATTACAAAGAAACCAAGTAACATACTGAATTAAACGTGAATTTTAAAGACTAAAATAGTAGTGTTTTCAACCATTTTTACAGTGTGGGTTTGAGATATGTTTATGGCGTCTTCTGTCATTTTTGGGACTTGGATGTTTTTGTTGTATGAGCGGAAACCGCTTTAAAACGTAGCTTTTCATCTTCTGTTGTGTTTTCTGTTGTGATGTTTTTATTTTGATAATGTTTTATTTTAACATTTTACAATTTATTCGTTTTATTTATTTTTATTATATATATTTTATTTTTTACTATATGTTTGTTATTTTATAAAAAAAAATTATTTAAAATTTAGAATTTACGGTTTTATGATTCAATTATTTATTACCAAGTGTTTTATTTAGACTACTGCAAAATATTTTTTTCAGTTTTACATTTTTATGATTCAATTACTTATTACTAAGTGTTTTGTTTAGATTTTTTATTATTTTACAATTATTTTTCAGTTTTACCTTTTTATTATTTAATTACTTATTAGCAAGTGTTTTTTTTATTTTAATTTTATAAAAAAAATGTTAAATAATTGTTAGCCAGTGTTTTATTTCCATTTTTTAAAATATATATTTTACCATTCTTTTTCAGTTTTACATTATTAGTAAGTGTTTTAATGTGTAAAAAAAAATTATTTAAAATTTAGAATTTACGGTTTTATGATTCAATTATTTATTACCAAGTGTTTTATTTAGACTACTGCAAAATATTTTTTTCAGTTTTACATTTTTATGATTCAATTACTTATTACTAAGTGTTTTGTTTAGATTTTTTATTATTTTACAATTATTTTTCAGTTTTACCTTTTTATTATTTAATTACTTATTAGCAAGTGTTTTTTTTATTTTAATTTTATAAAAAAAATGTTAAATAATTGTTAGCCAGTGTTTTATTTCCATTTTTTAAAATATATATTTTACCATTCTTTTTCAGTTTTACATTATTAGTAAGTGTTTTAATGTGTTTTACTGAAGAGAGAAAGTCATATGGGTTTGGAACAACATAATAAAACAGTGAATGATAACAGATTTGTAATTTTTGGGATAACTGTGCTGTAGTCTGTTGTGTCGTAGGAACATGATGTTCCCGTCTGATTGGAAACATCAGTGAGTGGTTAAGGCTGAGCTTCTGTCTGACAGTAAACACATGCGTTTGGT